AATATTTTAACAATAATAATTGAAAAGGTACCATATTTTGAAAACATGTTTTTGACGTAAAATTTGACGGAGAATGCGATAAAAATACTAAAAACTTGATTCGTTTTGGGGGCGTTTGTTAAAAATCGATTTAAACAATTAAATTGTTAATAACAATATAAATTTGTTAGTATTTTTTGTAAAAAAAATTTTTTTCTTACAGTTCAGTCCTTCAGCTACAAAAGTGCAATTGGTGAAAATTTTGTAGCTCTTAAAGATTCGGACCTATGGATTTATGAAAATGAGTCTCCAAGCCAAAAAACTTGCCATTCTCAAATGTTCGATCACTTGTATTATCGAAAATATGCAAATAAAAAAAAATTCCTCGGACACGTATCTCTTTTTTTTCGACATAGAATCCGTAAAAAAAGTTTCAGTCAAATCGAAGAGGTGCCGATTAATTTTCATCAAAATCCGTTCGGTTTGTAAAAGAATTACCCATATGTGCAGACGAACAGTAATGCAACCCAATAATTCTGATTGGTTGATCCATACTCTATTATTTTTCCGAGATTCCGTTTTTCTGAAATTCCGATTGTTATGGGACAGCACCCTTATAACAAATTCGATCACTTGCACTGCACTAGATCAGTGCATACTAAAAACTTTGCATAAAATTAGCAAAATTAAATGTATTATAAAAGTATATATGTAAATATTTTAAACGATTAACTATCTATTAATGATATTGTCATGTTATTTAACAAAATATGTATTTTATTGTCAAATATGATTATTTTATATCATTCATTATTATTTTATATTATATGCATTGAAATATTTTATATAAAGCAGCTTTTAATATGCATTCATCCAACGTAGCGAGTGATCGAATTCACCATTAATTAAGACTTATTCTACATTGGTCGTATTCTACGTCGCAGATTGCAAGCTCTGCAACAATTGCTATTGCATCAATCAATCTATGTGTCAAAAACGCACGACGCTTACGATGCTTAAATTGAGACGGCCAAAATGATCAATGTAGATTAGGTTTCTTTATGTCTCGGTTCGCGGACCAAAGCGATGTTTTTTTATCAGATTCTTTCGTTTTATGCAAAATCGCGTCGAATAAACTTAATTTCATTGATTTTTGTAAGTAAGCCTGTCTCCTTCATAAATACCGAAAGTGTGCTTTCCGGCAAAAGGCACACGTGATACAGTGTAACATAATGAATCATTACATCTTGTTGTTTACCAATATTAAACAAAGATAAAATGATTCATTCTGTTACACCCTGTGTATCTCTTACTGAAAGTGCCTAAGAACTTTTTGAGTCTAATATCATATATAATTTTCATAGGAGACCTGTACAGGTATGCTGGTGTCCAGGTTTACCGAAACAGCGTCTCAATCCAGCGTCAAGGATAATAATCCTGCAACATCCAGCAGAGGCTAAGCGCTGTTTACGTACGGTACCAATGCTCACATTGGCATTAGAATCGGGAAAGTGCCTAATTTTTAGGTGAATGAAGTATAGACCACGTTTACACAGCATCCTTAATCCGGGAGTAGGCGTGTCTCGAAACTAATGTTGGTAGGCACGTCATGGTCATTTTGGCCGAAATATATTTTCGCACATATATGTGTTATAACTAGAATACATATATGATTATAATTACTATAAGTAATAATTAATAAGAAAACGTTCTGATAAAGCTTTATATTAATCAATTAAAAATAAAGGAACGTAATAATTATTGGAAATAATTATATTGTATTTATATGATATATCTTTATTTTAATTTTATCTTTTTTATTTGTTAAAATTATTGATACGTAACGAAATAATAAGAAAATTATAATAATTTTATTTTTTATTTATAAAAATATAATAATAGCGGAGACTGGTGGAGACAACAAACACTAATGTAAGTGCACGTGCTATGGTCTTTTAGATCGATCGATACAAATATATTATTAAATATATTAGATATAAGCCTGTTTACGTTATCTATATACCAGGTGTACAAGTATAAAATGCGGATTTAAAAAAAAAACACGTTAAATTCGGAAGAATGATAAAAAAAGCTTTATTCAAAGTATGCTCTATTGCTAGTTACACATTTTTCCCATCTTTCGGGAAATTTGTGGATACCATGCCAGTAAAAATCTTCCCCCTTTGCCGCGAACCATTCATCGAGCCATTTTTTCACATCTTCGTACGAACCAAAGCGCTGCTCAGCAAGTGCGTGACCCATCGATGCAAACAAATGGTAATCGGAAGGAGCCAAGTGTGGTGAGTAAGCCGCATGGGGTAGAACTTCCCAGCAGCTGAGTGCTTCCAACGTGTCGCGAACCGGTTTTGCCGTATGTGATAGAGCATTGTCATGAAGAAAAATGACTTTGTGTTGTCTCTTTTGGTATTCTGATCTTTTTTCAAGCAGCGAACGGTTCAAATCGATCAATTGTTGTTGGTAGCGTCCAGCATTAACCAGGTTTTAACAGCTCATAATAGACCACACCCTTCTGGTCCCACCAAACACAGAGCGTCTTTCTGCCAAAGCGATTCGGTCTTGCGGTCGATGTGGATGGTGCGCCTGGGTCTATCCATGATTTTTTGCACTTGGGATTCTCAAAATAAATCCACTTTTCATCCCCACTAACGATACGATGCAAAAACGACTTCCTTTTGTATCGTGCAAGCAAAATTTCACATGTGTTTTTGCGTCTCTCCATCTGCCTGCCGTCCAACTCATGCGGTACCCATCTTCCAGTCTTCTGAATCTTTCCCATCTCTCGTAGGCGATTGGAAACAGCTTGTTGACTAACGCTCAATTGCTCTGCGAGTTGTTTTTGTGTTTGTGAATCATCTTCGTCCAACAATGCTTGCAATTCCACATCTTCGTACCTTTTTGGCGGTTTTCCGTGTTCCTTGTCTGCAACATCGAAGTCACCACTTTTAAAACGACGAAACCATCGTTCACACGTATCTTGCGATGGAGCATGTTTACCATAAGCTTCTCGAAGTATCGGTATGATTCAGCAGCAGTTTTCTTCAAATGAAAACAAAAAATTAATGCTGTCCGCGAATGCTCTTTGTTTGGTATAAATTTCGACATATCGAACACAGCAACACAACACTATGCAAACACTTTTTCAATTTATCACTCGTGCGCGTCTGACACTTGTTGATGGCACTTCAAAATGGCATAACAGTCAAATCTTTATACCACACACTGCATTGATGCGTTATCTGTTTTCTCAAATCCGCATTTCATACTTGTACACCTGGTATAAAATTACTAATAAAGTGTTTAATTTATTATTTGGCTCTCAGATTCAATAAATTAATTGTGGAGTGAAATAAGAGCAATTGAGAACAGTCGCAATTGACTTTAATATATCTATTCATATACGAGGTCTGTTCAAAAAGTATCGCGAATTTTGAATTTCCGCGGGTTACGTATATTCGATTTTCGATTTTTTTGTGGCGTTATGTTGATACTCATGTCTCTCACTTATGCCGACAAGTTCGGCCATTTTGAATGTTCAGTTAATTTTTGACAGCTGCTTTGCTTGCACGTGTTTTGGCTCGTCTGATTTTTGTCTATTCCAAAAAATGGATCAAAGAATCTGTATCAAATTTTGTGTGAAAAACAAAATTAAGTGCGCGGACGCATTCCGAATGTTGACTGTGGCATATGGTGAAGCTACCTTGGACCGAAGCAACGTTTGTCGGTGGTACAAAATGTTCTCAGAGGGCCGAGAAGATGTGAACGACGAAGAGCGTGCCGGACGCCCGAGCACGTCAACAACAGACGGAAACATTGATGAAGTGAAGAAAATAGTATTGGCCAATCGGAACGGTCAATAAGGAATATTACCTGCAAGTTATGCGCAATTTGCGCGAAGCAATCCTCCAGAAACGCCCGGATTTGTGGAAGAACAAAAATTGGCTTTTGCACCATGATAACGCCCCTGCTCACACATCGTTGCTTGTGCGCAAATTTTTGACCAAAAACAACACACTAATGATGCCGCAGCTACCGTATTCCCCAGATCTGGCCCCCTGTGACTTTTTCTTGTTCCCGAAACTGAAGAGGCCCATGAAAGGACGACGCTACGCTACGATTGAGGAGATAAAGACGGCATCGAAGGAGGAGCTGAACAAGATCACAAAAAATAATTTTTTGAAGTGCTTCGAGGATTGGAAAAAACGTTGGCACAAGTGTATAATATCTGATGGGGATTACTTTGAAGGGGATAAAATAGATATTCATGAATAAATAAATAATTTTTGAAAAAACACAAAATTCGCGATACTTTTTGAACAGACATCGTATATATTAGTGAACTTGAATTTGTGACAAGGAATTAGTTTCAACGAATTTTATAATTTAAAAATAAATGTTATTTTTAAATTATCATTTGTTCTGTGCGATAAATCTTCACTTGTGTAGTTTATTCTTAATAGTCTCACAGCTGGTTAAAGAGTTCATTCTCAATGTTCAAATTGTGCAATTACCTCAAAACCATCAAAAATCCATGACTTCAACAAATCGCAATTTAATATTGTATACGCTAAAGATGGCTTAATTTATAAGTCGAAACGTTCGTATGTATTGAGAACCAAGAGAAATTTTGTAATAATTACTTATATGTGAATAGATATACGTTAAAGTCAATTGCGACTGCTCTCAATTGCCCTTATTTCACTCCACGATTAATTTACATTATTTATTTTCGCATATTATACAAAAAACATTAATAAACATTTACGTAAAGGTAAAAATATAATAGTGCCAACAAATTGAAAGATATAAATAAAAAACGGAAGAGTACAACAAAATGACCGATACACGATCACTCCCGGTTTAATTGATTTAATAACATCTGTATTTATGAAACTGATTAGAACTATTCCTCTATAGAATGGAATGATTGTGACATCCGTAGTGATTGAAATTAGCCAATCATAGCTGTTCCTCGGAAGAATGGAACAACTGTGATTGGCCAGTTTCATAACTACGGATGTTATCAAACTTGATTAAGGATACCGTGTAAATGTAGTCTGTGATTGGTTAGTTTCTAACTACGGATGTTATTAAATCCAATTAAGGATGACCATGTAAACGTAGTTCTAGTTATTTAACTCAATCACTAATTGTATAATCACTGACCATCATATAAGATTAAAAAAAATTATTTTTTTTAAGAGGGAAGAAGTTTCCGTTGCCTAAGCACGAGGGCCTGGCAGAGATATTAAATGACGAGAATACTATTTTACTGTACCCATCGCCTGACGCTGTGGCACTGGACACGCTAGATCCAGTTGGAATTAATAAACAGAAAGCATATAACTTGGTTCTGCTGGATGGAACATGGCCACAAGCAAAAGTAAACCATCATTAATGACATCTGTAAACTTATTAATAAATCAAATAAACTGTTGCAAAGATGTAACAAAATGCAACAAAAAAATAAAAAAAAGTTGAATCATTTGATTTTTCTTATATTACTGAAAATCTTGTTGACTTTTATAATCTATTGAGAGATTTGACGCATATTTTGCCTCGTTAACAATAAGATAATTGGATATCTATTGTCAAAAACAGAAATTCAAAAAGAATTTTTAAAACATGAAATTTACAGATGGATGGACAGACCAACACTACGCAATTATAATGTAGTTTGTTACACTGGACTACTTAATAAGTAAAGGAAGGGCCAATACATAGTCGAGGCTATATCTTGGTGCCTAATAATATTTATATGTAAATTTTAAATACATTTTTCGATAAATGTTACAATAGAAGATCCAGTTTTGATGATCCAGATCTTGATTTTTACATATATTGTCATGATCATAGTTGCAAGTTTTCTCTGACTTAAAAATCAGAGATTTCATTTATCTTGCTGAAGATCGCCTGCAACTTTCAAAATTGTTACTACACTGTAATGTATTGTTTTAAAAAAAGCGTCATCAAATGTTTTCCGTCAGCCAGAGAACTGAAGATTTAACTGTGATCTTGTCATGATCCTGAGTGATCTCCAACTAGTTTTACTTTATGCTCGTTACCTTAAAAAGTTATTAATAAAAAATGTTCACTACACAGTGAAACGAAGTCTATAATTGTACTGTTCCACATGGGTTTTCGAATTCCACGCGAAACGATGTGTCCACCTGACTTCTCCTCCTGCTTTAGAGCGTATGACTTTCCAGGTGAAGGGAGGTTTTCACCGCACTTTCCTCTTCCCCTCCTTCCCCTTCGTTTTGGAGCGTACGACTTTTCATGCCAAGCGAGATTTATTTTTATATTTCTAAATACATAAAGCAGTAAATTGTTTTTATTAATAACTTTTTGACAAGTAACAAGCACCAACTAAACCTGTTGAAGGTCACTTAGGGTCATGACCTTGACAACATATGTCGTGGGCAAGATCATCGAAGTTAAATCCTTGTTTACTCATTTTTCACTTGTATAAATTATGCGTTACTGTCGGAAACTTCAATTGAAACGCAATCAAAAGCTAAAATAACACCACAGTAAACAACGCATAATTTATGCAAATATATTTAGAAATTACAAATATATTTAGAAATTGCAAATATATTTAGAATTTACATATTAAATATTGTTAGGCACCGAGGCCTAGAGCCTCGATTATATTGACTTTTATTTATTTGATTTATTTATATAACGATCTAGATTAATTTATTGTTTAAATATGTGACATATGATTACTAATTTAAACTTTTTAAAAGGATATAGTATGCCAAAAAATAAAAAGACAATATGATAGATTACAATATGATAGATAATTAAATTTTATGTCTATCGTTATTCTGCAGGCAATATATCACTCGAGTCCAGCTCTGTATTTTCTGCGAGCTTGCAAGCTGATCGGAGTGCCGACTAGTGAATATGTGATCAGAACACAGCCAACAGAAGGCTGTCTCTCGACATTAGAAACAGGCGCAAATGCGCTTTCAATTCTAGAAGGCGATCCCGAACTGAGAAAGAAGATGCTGGGTCCACTACATTATTTATGCAGGCAAGTATATAAGTTCCTTTCAAATATAGCCGTTATATAGAAAACTTCTCACAAGAGAAGTGCGCAAGTGATAATCGCCAATTGGAATAAATTATATATTGTTGGAAAGGTCTTGCTGAGTAATGTTCAACTGTACAATATTTCACTTGAATAGTGCCTCTAGATAGCGCTATGTGCAATAGAAGTTATCATTTGGTAAAACTTGTTGTGTCCCTACACTCCTCTGAGTCAACTCCGATGATCTTGGCGTATGTTGTCATGACCTTAAATGACCTCCAAACGGGCCTGCATGAACTGCTCCAAACAATATTTGGTTACGGATTGCCATTTTTCCCGATGTATACCCTGCTCAACATACTTCTTGCGTTTTTCGTTTTATTCCAGAATTCAAAATAAGAGAGCGAAAAAAGAGAAAGAAAAGCAAAAAGACTAATGGTAATGATAACGTTCGAAAAAATATTACATGAAAGTTTATCTATAAGGGTTTTTTTTATCGCTAGTAATACCAGAGCCAAAGTTTCAAAATTCAAAATAGCGAATCCAACATAGCGTCCAAAAAACATTAAAAGTAAAAAATTAAAAATAGATAAAAAATAGAAAAATAAAGTGCAAAATCCTACCATAGCTTCCCCGTAGTGCACTGTGGGATCATGATAATATTTCAGTAGCAAATAATGGAGGTTAGAGTATCCATAATAAAAAATCGGCAGTACTTGTTACATATTTTTTGCTACAATTAATCGTCTTCCATACATTCCATTTATAAAACTTATTTTGTCAATAACTTTTTAACGGATAACAAGCGACGGCTAAAACATGTTGGAGGTCATGACCTTGACAACATACGTCAATGTCAAAGTCATCGGAGTTGACTCAGAGGGGGACACAAGAATTACCAAACTAATAACTTATATTGCCCATAGCACCCTCTAGAAGCGCTATTCAAGCGAAGTATTGTACAGCTGAACTTTACTCGGCTTTCAACAATATATAATTCATTTCAATTGGCGATTATCACTTTGCGCACTTCCCTTGTTAGAATAAATACACTTCTATATAATGGAAGAAAGAAGACAAAAATGGAGAAATAATAAATCAATAACACAAACCTGCGAAATTTGATTCATTGAGATGTAGAAGTGATTTCCGATGTAAATTTTTTGCGCTGAATCCTGGCCACAGAAATTGTCTAACACGTCAGGATTTTGAAATATTCTAACCTAAAAACGCTGTTTTTTTAACAGATTACATTTTTAAATTACATTTTCAATTACAATAACTTTGAAACGTGAGGATATCCGTTGATGTGGCCAATAAATTCGGAAATTTGTCATGAAAAAATCTATAGAAATGCATTCATATATATATTATATTGTATTTTCCGAAATGATCAAATATTTACAACTACAGAAATAAATTATATTAACATATTCCACGTTCTTTAGTAGGTAAGCTGAACGCTTCATTGGACTGATTTTTTTTTACACTTTGTATCAAAGGATTTTTGGGTTGCTGATTATGTGAATTTAAAGTAGAAATTTAAACATTCAAAATGATGAATCCAATATGGCGATTCAAAGCTTTAAAAAATCGTTATAATTATAACTAATAATACAAATATAAATTAATAAATATAATTTAACGACTTTAAATTCATAATTAGCGAAAAAAACCTTTCGATGCAAAGTGTAAAAAAATCAGTTCAATGAAGCATTCGGTACTTATCTACTACAGAACATGAATTTTGTTAATATAATTTATTTCTGCAGTTATAAATATTTGACCATTTTGGAAAATACATGTATGCATTTTTGTAGATTTGTTCATGACAAATCTGAATCTATTGGCCAAATCAATAAATATCCTCAAAGTTATTGTTAATTTGAAGATGTCAAAAAACTGTTTTTTTTTTTGTACATTTAGGTCAAATATCTCAATATCCTGATGTACTAAATTTCTGTGGCCAGATTCGGATTCAGCGCAAAAAATTACGTCGGAAATCATTCCTACATCATAGTGGTTTTTCCAAAGTTTCATTTTCACAGGCCTGTGTAATTATACTATAATCAAATACATTAAAAATTAATTTATGATTAATTTATCATATATAAATGACGAAAACCATTTGAAGAACTGTTCCTTCTTTCAGATTTCAATTAGAAAATGGTGCGGTAACACATCAGAGCAAAGAATTTCTTATCAAACAGAAAACTTATCCCAAATTAATAGGCAAAAGACTCGCCAAACAATTACGTATCTTACCAGACAGTACCTCATAATATTAAGATATATTTAAAAAATATAGATAGATAAAAAATAAATATCTTTTATGAACTTCATATGAGGTGAAAAGAAATACTGCGTGAAGTGTTAGATATATGTACATATATGTATATATATTATATAATACACACACATATATATACATATATGTGTGTCTATACATATGTATATATATAAAACATGAATTTTAATAAATTTTCTATTTACAGTTATATAGAATGAGACAGTCTTAAGGAATATTTTCTACTCTAGTGACCCGAAAAAATGCTTTTTTTAAATATTGAAAAACTGATCTTTTTAAAATTTACATACCTATTCACTTATGTTTTAACGTGGATTCTTATTCCTGTGACTTATGTTTTAATTATATGCTAATATTTTTGAATACTGAATATTCAATTTCCAATTTCTTTTTGTAAATATATAGATTTCCGTATTTAGAGAAATATGATTCTATAGGGTATTCAGCGTAATTGTCAGACATAGTATATGGGCAGCCATGGGACGTCAAAACAAACCCCCTCCACGTCTCCCTGCGGTGCCGTGGGCGTGGCCTAGACGAGTCAGTCTGGAAAAAGGGCGCGCTCTGATTGGTGGAGGAGTGAAGGGTTGGGGTAATAGGATAATAAAATGGTGTGTTCTGATTGGTTGACAAAGATCTGATTGGTTCGCTCCGTACCTACCTACTTATAAGGTGATTGGAGAAGGTGGGTGGTAGAGAGTCTCAGACAAAATGGAGGGTAAAGTCTGAAAAAAATGGTGAATGGAGATTGGGACTGTAACATTTTTTGTCGCGAGGGCAGAGTACGAACACTGGGGCATGAATACCGTTCGATTTTATGACGGTCATTTTTTTTTGGCGCGGCGCAATGTCTCTGACGTGTTGGCATTTTAGTGAATGTTTTTTATGTATGAGAGAAGAGATCTTATACGAAAATTTGCGAGTCTAGAGAGAGTCTTGCTTTTACTCGGAAGAATTTGGAGAGGTAAAACAGAAACGAACATGTTCAACTGTTGCGGCGCGTCGTCTCCGGTGTGACGACTCGAGCGAGAGTATGATTTTTATGATATATGACAAGGATTTTATGAATTTATATTGTACTTCTTGTACTTTATTTAAAAGTTTATATATATATAACACGGAAATATGGAGAGAAAAAAGTTGGTTATTGGAAGGTACGAGTAATTAAGAAACGAGAGTTTATACAAAAATGTATTTACTGATACAAATTCTTCTTTTTTAAAGAAGAAGAAATACATAGTTTGCATGAGAATAAACTAAAAAAAGTTTTTAGTAAAATTAAGCCAAAGATTCTCGCTTCAAGAGAATTATATGAAAAATTTCGTTATATCTTAACGAAGTTAATTCCAAAAATATTATATTAAAATACATATCAAGAAAAGTTAAGTCGTTAATTTGTATATGTACATTACGTTCTATATCTTCGTAATTACCACGCAACGTTAATTTTCTAATTTCCTGATTAATAAAACTTGCAGGTAATTTCAATTCGATTTCTTGAATTAAATATAAAGCATATTTATTAACATTATCGAATAAAGATTCTAATTGTTTTAAACGCACATTGACGCACTTTACAATATTTTGCAGTCCGAAGAAGGTAGTTTTCTGCATCACAATTGCCGCTACGTAGGTTCTCCATTTCTTCGCTGGTGGAGTTGAATCGAGCGCGTCCTCTTCTTTTCGAAGATTTCCTCTTCTGGAAATTTCCTCTTTGTTGGAATTTTCTTCTTTATACATTAGCAATATTGATTTTGCTCCGTAAGATGTGATAAAGCTGATAGTGATATTTTTTATAACAATAAAGTTAGGTTTCATTCTGTTATCACTGCTTAAATTCATGAGTTCCATGTGATCTTGAAACTGTTGCTAGCAGTTGATGTCGAAATAAATTCCGTCTACGTTATGTCCGCTCAATTTTACAAGAAGTTTGAAGATTCCTTCGTTCGTTCTTTGCAATCCTACGTGAATCATCTTCGTATGAGAATTGTTAAGACCATACGTTGTTGCTAACAACATATGAAATCGAGCGTCTCTTCTCTCGTCGTCGTCGTTACTTGAAAGAATCGGGGAGTACATGCCCATGTCCGAATTATTAGTATTTTTTGGACTAGCCATTGTTCTTACGTCGTAGTAATACCAAATTTAAATAAATCAAGATGGCAATCAAAAACACAAGAAGCACAGTACTTGTTTGCTCGCGAAGCTGAAGCTGCGGACGACGAGACTCGAATAAAACGGATTTTCGAGAGCACCGTCGACATCGCCACCCTCTCCGACGCTATTTAATAAAATTATTCTGCGCGCGCAGATGAAAAAAATGAAAAAACATAAACCTTCTCTAAATTTTTCTTAAAAATTTAAAGTAACTTTTACCCCGTAGAAGTCAGGAAGGGGGAGGAACGAGATAAAACGAGAACGAACAGGAACGAAATGAAAGGTTTTACGATTCCTCTCCTGCTTTTTTATGACATGACGAGGGGAAGGAATTTGATCAGCCGAAAAGAGAAAATTTTTTCGCAATAAACCTTAAGGAAAAAAGAATTGGTTTAGCTTGCGGGGTAGTTTCTAACGAATAAGAATTAGTACATCAATAATCAGCTTTTTTTAAAAAAACAAGAAATTTATGAAGCACCTTCGCTTTAAAATAAAGTTACGATTGGGTTTATTGTTTTTTTTAGAAAATTCATTAATGTTTAAAGAAAGAGATACGACAAAAACAATGTTGAATTGGGTAATGGAAAATTTATTCATCTTCCTCTTTTCTGAAACTTTTGTGTATCTCTCAAATAACGTGTAGTATACGGAAATTTATAGGATACAAAAATTAAACATTAGTTTGTGTCGTAACGTTTTCCGTCCGTCACAAGGGTCGCACGACTCGGCCGAATAGTGCAGTCTAGCGTCCTAAGTCCTTCCACATTTTAGAGGGCGGACGCATCTGCGCTTTTTTGCGACGTTATTTGCGTGTCTCACGCGTTTCGCGTTATCGTTTTCGTTTCTTTTTTGTGCATTTCTGTACCGAGAGTTATAGAAACTGGCGACTCCTACGATCTTGGCAGATTGACGCCGACTCACCGGACCGTGAAGAGAGAAGAAGGAAGACGGCCAAGACTGGAAGTCGGGTAACGAGGCGCGATAAGGCCCCCTCGCGGGGATAACAAGCCCTGTGTGCCCCCGGGAGGATCAGCGCTCGGCACTTGTACTGTGGCCAGCGGATAGCGAGCTTGTAAAAGGGACTCAGGACGACTATCGGAAAGTTTGAGAGACGAGGAAGGACGTTGAGACGAGCAGCAGCAGCAGGTCACGGTGAGACGAACGGCACCAGTTGTAAAGTAGCCGGTTTCCGAAGGGAGGCGTAATCTTAGCGCAATCTTATCGGGTATATTGTAGTGAACGCACGTGACATTGTGCATTGGATTTCTGTAGAATTCGGGTAATACGCGTCGCCTCCCGGGACGATCATTCATTGTCGGGAGAATTCTCACCTCCGCTAAGGCCACAGCCTCGTCATTTATCGTAAGGTTTTGTCGCGTGTCATGTTCTTGTATCGTATCATGTCGAAGTTCCGTACTGTAATATTGGCGTGTATCTTGTCGTTTCGGAATCTTGCAGCGTAAGATCTACATGTCTCTTAGAGTATCGGCACTCATAGTAATTAACAATAATGTGTATTATAGTAATTAATTGCGCGTATTCTATCATATCGAGATTGTGTAGCATCGAGTTTGCGTGTATTCTGTCCTTCTCTGACCTTCGGTTGAGCGGCGCAAAACCCCGCGCACGAGGTCACGCCGTGTTCACGCTACAATCGTTGCCGAATTCTATCGCATTTTTGAGGCGGCGAATTATTGTTCGCATAGTTCGCGAAAAGCATCCTTGTGTGGCGTGAACTCGTGCCGCCGAGATCTAACGAAATTGATACGCCCCGCGTAAAGCATTTCGGGGCCTGTGCAAAGCAATTACCGCGTTTGATCGAATCTTATCGTCACGATCTTGGCAGATGTAAATGAAAGTCGGAAACTCGTTAAATATACTTGTTATTTTTGTTATTACTAATTCTGGTGTGCTTTATTGTCGTCACTATTCGCTTCTCTATCCTGGACCACGAACCGCCCTCTCTGCCATTTTCGAGGCTGAGCTACCGGTTGAGAGCCCAGTGTTCACAGTTCGTTAGAATATTGCATACAGAAAATATCGCGTAATTTCGAGAAAAAGTGCCACGCTCACTTGTGCCTCGCGCCCAACTATTGTTTCAAGATTTTGTGTTGCCCTTGAGAATGGCCACGTGAAGACGCATTTCTGTCGTGTGTCGTTTGAAGTCACTCGTAATTCGATTGTCTAAGAGAATTTTAGCTATGAATGAGCGACGAAGTTGCGCCACGAAGGTGAGTGCGGTTGCAAGTTATATTGATAAATGTGAGAAAAGTTTTAAACGAAAGGAGTTATGTTCAATGTTCGCCATGATTTTTTCCTCATGACCAGGTGCTGAAGAAGGAAAACTAACAAAAACCAAGACAATTGTCGGTCAAGCAAGATACAGGAATTTCCATTAAAACTGTATTTTTTTTTATTGGAAGGTTTAATGTTTATCAGTTATAGACTAATATTGCGTGAGAATCTTTTCAAGTAAGAAGATACAAAAAAAAACAGAAGGAAAAATTTAAAATGTGAGATTCTCCGTAACAATAAAAATTTTATAGTGTGATAAAAACTTTTCTGGATAATAATGAAAACGAGAGCTAAAGGTTTTATTAGGGTAAATACGAAGGGAGCGATGCTTTTCGAGATAATTTTTATGGGGGAGAAACGGAATTAGATCAGATATAGGGATGGTCATAACTTGGAAGTTTTTGTCGTCTCCTGCTTCTCTAAATTTTACGAGAAAATCACTTTTAGTAAAGGAAGCGACCAATTACCAAAATTGTCAAAAATCTATCGGCCAATGAAGGGACTAGAAACTTTTAGCGATTCTTTTCGGGAAGAGGAATTTTATGAATATCGCTACGAGCATAAATAGCACGCACTAATCAAGCTAAAGTTTAGTGCTACGTTCAAACTCTGAAGTGGATTGATTTTACGCCGACTTTTTGCGCGTCGTTTTTATAATAATTTTGTATTAAAAAAATGAACTTCGCGACTTACTCACTAAATTTTTCATCGCTACTAGCAATTTAAATAAAAAATTAGTTGCTGCAGATTATCTGACAAAGTTGTCAGATGATGAAAAAAAATTATTCCGTTTTCGGAAATTTTGTGGGTGAATGCTCCAACACATATGCACAATGCATATGCACAAATTGGGGCATTGCAGTGGTAACGACAGACTGAAAAATATAATCGCTCGTTATCTAGAAATACACGAGTGTTTTGGTCATGAGGAGGATGACGCTGGAGGTCACATAGCTAACTTCAAGCGACGCACTGGACTAAGATAAGCTCTTAGTAATAATTTCTAAAATAAAATCTAATATTAGCATTAAAAGTTTACTTTATAATTAAATTATAATAATTTATTTCATAGAAGCACCTGTATTATAGAACGAGCGATACCGCATTACAAAGGACGTCCAGTAGGGCGACTTAGTTTAAGGCGACGTCACTCCACGAGAGAAGAAGAGGGAGTACCAGCGAATAAATTTTGGGGAAATAAATATTAACTAAATTATAGAAATCTCGAATGTTAAAATATTTTATTTTTTTCTAGGAAGAGCACGAATTGAAGCGAAAAATAATGTTCCGCCTCCGACGTTCCTGTCATTGTAATTGATAAGTATTTCACGAATAACTGAGAAATCTAGTTCATATAATATAGATGTAATGCGATAAAAAATAAAATCAATTTTGTTTTAGATGATGATGATGATGATGATGATAACAATAATCGGAATGATGATTTGAATCCGTCTGAATCGATTCGAGCATTAGTCTCTCCAGGTTTCACAATTTCCATAATATGTATTGTAAGTTCTTTAAAAAATAAATTAGAATATAGAGAGTTAATTATATACAGAGTTCAAAAATAATAATAACAAAAATTACTTTTTAGCGCAGGAAATCGAATAATAACGGGAGGAATTAACACAGGAAGAAGATATGGAGTCTGAAGAGGAGGAGGATAATGAGAACGTTGACGATGACAATGATGATGATAATGATGCCGATGATAATGCTACTGATAACGAGGAACAGAACAACGCAAATATTGAGGATAGCTTTGATGACAACGATGATGATGGGGAAGAGGAGAAGGAAATATTATAATTGATGAGAAAGAAATAACTCAGGAGACAATAGAGGAAGAAGAAAACAGATATTACGCACCTCTTGACAATGAAAGTAATAATATTTTTATTTTTTATTTTAAATTTATTTGTTGCTCGAGATACTTAAGCAGATATTTTTATCAGATATTTCGTATTCCCCTGTTCTGCCTATGTCGCCGGAATATTAGAATTTACATAAAAGAGAAACATCCTCCTACGCCCGATCATGTGAACAGCTGTAGCTGAATTATCTTGCCATGCAGTAATGTTACGACTAGTAGTATAAGTTTCTGACATAATGTATATAGCAATGTTATCAGATTAATAAGGTTTGTTTAACTTTTTTTTACAGTACAAACTGGCGGTGATGCTATATCGCGATATGCAAGGGAAGAAAACATGTCACTGGAAGAAGAAGAATCTTCACAAAATTTCAAGAATTCCATCGACGATGAACATCAGCAGCAGCAGCAGCAGCAGCAGCAGCAGCAGCAGCAGCAATGGCAACATGCGCATCATCATCATCATCATCATCATCATCATGAGGAAAATGATCATTACAAGCAGGATCGTCATCATCAACAGGAGGTTAGAGATAACTTCGTTTTTACAGAGTTAACGTTTTTATAGAGTTAAGGAAAACTCGCGTCGATTTAGGAATTTTGTGTTACTAGGGAGAGAGGCAACTTTCGCTATACATCCGCCACCCGAGGGTATTGATATCGTTCGTTGGATAGAAAGCGCGTTCCGTGAAATTCGGGCGTATGCGCTACATTCGTGCGAACTGAATGATTACGTAGGATTATCGTTCAAGTCGGCGGATCTAGCGCGTGGTCCGGCGGATCTATTATTTCGTTCAGCACGCGACTTAACTCATGAGGACATATGGCAACTCGTGAGTTTGCTGGAGGATTCGCTATCACAGAAAATTTTATCGTGCGCGTTTTCAAAGTCTCAGTACCTGCTGGCTGCGGCGTCAATTTAATCGATTAACTCGCGAAGATGTAGCCATGTTCGATTTTACAAATAAAAACACAGACAATTTGTGTTTTCCCCGTTCGCTCGTAGTGGCACGCGTACATCAAGAGCGTGGGCAACTGCGTACGAGGGAACTGCAAGAAAAATGGGAATCCGTGAGATACCAGCGTTCTTCGTTACAGCGTAAGCTGGCCGAAGAATTAACGAAATCCGCTGGTATCACGATTTCCGAGGAAGATTGTGGTATTCGCGAAATCAAGTAACAGATTCTCGCTTCCGAAAATATTGCAATTATGATATATAATTTCAGTATTTTCGATCGAAGCGAGAATCCGATGTACGACGGCTGCTCATTACTTTCCTCCCTAGATCGCGAACCCTCGTGTTGTTTAAATATAATGTACGAGGGTTCGCGACGTTATAATCCTATACTAAGTTTAAAAGCCGCCGCCGGTTCTCGCGGAGGATATTGCGTAGCGTGCAACGTGGGGTTTCGTAACGACAGAAGTCATCGATGTACAAAAAAATGCCCACGCTGCTACGACACCCTGTCTTGCGAACGCCCCGACGTTGAGTTGATTAAGTGCGATTCGTGCGTTCGCGTCTTCTTCGGGCGTCCGTGTTTTAAGCGTCATCGTGCGCAGGGATCGTATAAAATATATCTCAATTCAAATATATATCAAGCGTTTGCGAATCCATTAAAATTTTGCAATGGTTGCGGGCGATTGGTTAATTCAAAATCGCGATATGATTGCGATGTAGTTTATTACAAAACTTGTCGTTCATTACAGTCTTCGAATCATTTGTGTTACATGTGGCCTTTTGTGTCGTAAAGCCTCAGTATAAAACCCGCAGGAGAGTAGTATGGCATCACGAGAAGAAAATTCGCAAACAAATACGAATGACGTCGAAGACACGGACGAGCGTGTTAAAAGAGATCGCGTCGTATTCGTGTTTTATGATTTCGAAACGTGACAAGACGAGACGCTCGAAAGAACAAAGAACGTAAGAATCCACATTTCCAAATCAAAATTATATTGGACCAATACCTGACGCTCGATATTGTTCGCCCGAACAAATAAAAGCCGATGAACACGAGCGTTTTATGGTTTGGCACGAGGAAATGTCGCGTTCGAATTTCGTTTTTGATCTCAAACAAGAAATAGTAAAATATTATTGGAATGACGTAGATATCCTTCGACGTGCGTGCATGGCGTTCAGAAAAATCTTTTTAAAACGCGGAGACGTGTGTCCGTTCGTAGAATGTACGACTATCGCTTCCACATGTATGAAAGTTTTTCGCAAAAATTTTTTACGCGAGGAAGAAATAGGACCGGATATAGATATAAAGACAATTATTCGCCCAAAGCACTACAGTGGTTAGTGTGGATGGAGCGTGAGCTCGGACATCCTATAATCCATGCAGGGCGAGGCCGCGATTATCGAATTGTCGGTACGCCCGACAACGGATATTACGAAGTCGAATCAACGAACGAAACATTACGTGTTACAATTTCACGGTTGTTTTTGGACGGTTGTCCCAGCTGTTACCAAATCAGTGAAAGAAAACTTACGTCCGGGTCGTCACGCGAAGATACAATCGACGCTCGATACGAACGAACTCTCGCAATGACATGGCATCTTCGACAACGTGAATATAAGGTAATAGAGAAATAGGAGTGTGAATTTGCACGAGAAAAGCGCGAGAATCACGAGATGCGCGATTTTCTTGAAAACCATCCGATGCTAATCAACCCTCCTCTCGACCCTCGCGAGGCATTGTTTGGTGGCCGTACAGAAAATATCATAACCCAATACGAAATTATGAGCATGAAGAAAATATGTGGATGTGTGTTCTCTGTATCCGTATTGAAAACGGGTATTTTTCCGTTAAGCCAGTCTACGATTTATATCGGAGAACAATGTTCGGAGTTGATTGGCGTAGCTTCGAATTTTAATTTTAATTCTGTAGAGAGTATTATTCGGTGCACAGTACCTCCTCCAGGCGATCTCTTTCACCCTGTACTCCCGTACCGCGTACAAAGTAAATTGTTGTTCGGGTTGTGTCATAGTTGCTGCGACACGTTCTCGCAAGCTGAGTGCACTCACGATCTCCCCGCCGATCGTGAATTCGTAGGTGCGTGAGTATCCTGCGAATTGCGCAAGGCTCTTGAGAAAGATTATCTCGTGACGAGCGTGAGCGAAATGTGGCAATTTAGAGTCACACGGTTCGATCCTCATACGAGGCAGGATGGTTTGTTTGCCAAATATATCAGCAGTTTTTTGAAATTAAAGCAGGAAGCTAGCGGATGGCCGAGCGAATGCCTGGATGACGAGAGTAAGGAACAGTACCTTCGGGAATACGAAAAAAATACAAAGGTATTGTCCTCGATAGAAATAATATCGTCCGAAATTCAGGTTTACGTTCGGTCGTGAAGCTCTGCTTGAATTCTTTTTGGGGTAAATTCGGCCAACGAACCAATTTGCCTAATACAGAGATCGTAAAAAAATACGAACGTTTGGCAACGTTGCTCACGAGTTCAGAACATGAAATAACTAATATATTACCTGTCAACAACGAGGTAATATATGTTTCGTGGCGACTACGTGAAGAGACGGTCGCGCCTTCTCCGTAAAACCAACTCTGTAATCGCGGCATGGACGCCGTCACAAACGCGACTGATATACGAATATTTAGAGAAATTAGATAGTCGCGTTTTATATTGTGATATAGATTCGTGATATAGATTCGTGTATTTATGTAAACAGAGGCGAACCGAGCGAGTACGAGCTGCGTTCGGGGAATTTTCTGGGCAATATGACGGACAAACTCAGGAGCTACGGACGGGGCAGTTTTATCGAGTCGTTCGTGTCCGGAGGCCCGAAATTCTACGCGTACGTCGTTCTTACACCGGAAGATTGCCGACACGGATCTGTAAAGTTAAAGGAATAACATTAACTTATAAGAACTCTCATATTATAAATTTTAATAGTGTTAGGAAATTAATAATGAGAGAGAAAGGCGCGATGAAGAAGAAGAAAAAGAAACGGGAGGGGCAAATAAATTTGCGTTTTAGCGCAATCCGTCTCACGGCGTTTCACGAAATCGTAACGCGAAACGAAACCAAGACGTGCGCACCGGTATTAGTAAAACGCAAATTTATTAATAATCACTATTCTCTCCCATATGGCTTCAGAAGAGAATAATGACTTCTTCTTCTTTTCCTTTTTCTCATTTATATTTTAAGCTCGCGAGTTTTCCGCCTATTTGCATAGTATTTAAGTATTATGTAAGAAAAAATATGAATTTAAGTTTTTTGTAAATAATAAAATATAAGTATCTCTCTTTTGCAAAAAAAAACATTTTTATTAACATTTTATCGAATAATTTAATGTAAAAATGTAAAAATATAAAAATGTAAATATTTAATTATAATATAAAAATGTATTATATTGTTTCTAAATAATTGAATTTTATATATAAGAGTTAGCAAAAATATAAGCAACACAACAAATTAAAAATTATATATGTTCCCTTTTCTCCTTTCCTCCTTTTAAAGAAAAGTATCGAATAAAAAATACTTTGTACTTGAAGGAAACAAAAAGAGATGATTTATTACATAATTCTAACTAACCTTTCCGATTTCTACGAGAGCTTTTCCTCGCTGCGACATCGCGGTAGTGGCATCAATAAGCTTATCGACGATGCCACGCGCTCACTTAATAATAGAAATATGCTGATTACAAGCTTCTTTGACGCGCGCGAAGATAAGCTTATGCGCGTCACATCGCGGCGAGATGATCAGCTTTTCACCAGCCGCGGTGTTCTTCGCTGACAAGCTCACGCGGGGTACGCTGGTGCGAGCGCTCGCCCGCCGCGGAGGGAGCTCTGCCATCGCGTTGATCAGCTTATCCTCGCCGCCCTCCTAAAATTATTTATTTTCACGCATTCTAGAAATCAAGTGACGTTTTTTCTTTTTGCTTTTGAAGTCGCGCACGGAGATTGATCGTTCATTTCGTAAAATGGACGTGCGTTGGAAACATCCTTGGACGTTAGTCGTATGACCGATCGATTGCGGGAAGACGATCTTTGTGAAGGCTTTCCTCCGGCATTTATCTCTCATGTCCGACGTGCGTTCCGAGAGAATTTTGTTTTATTATGCGGAATGGCAAGAAGCCTATCGTCGATTACAATACAATACGAGACGTGTAAAAGAATTCTAAGAACAGCGTTGAGGATGCAGTAATACTAAAACGATGAAGAAGAATATAATTGAATTTTGCGAGGGATTACCTCGTCCGGAAGATTACTCGAACGATCCGCTTTCTCCGAAATTAGTGATAATCGATGATCTTATGAGAGAATCGTCGTCATGCGACGCGATCGTGGATCTTTTTACCAAAGACAGTCATCACAAGAATCTCAGTGTTATTCTTATCTCGAAGAATCTATTCCATCAGGGGCGTAGGCAGTGCGATATATCACTTAACGCGAATTACATTGTCGTGTTCAAAAATCCACGTGATC